CGCTTTTGAGGGATTATGTTGCAGTTGTAAATGGCTGCTTGGCAGGATGCTACAAGGAGCTTCGGGACCAGCAGGGCTGTTCTGGGGCCTTTGTAATGTTGGGTAAAAACAGGCAATTACAACTGACCCTGGGGGCTTTCTTGTGTCTGGAATCAGAACTCTCGGCATCTTGGCGTTCTGAGGCCCAGCAAGACAGAGTAGGCCGTCCAGCCAACTTCAGAAAGGCTCAGTTGAGGCAATGAATAGTACCGTAGTCTGTTTTTGAGAAGCAAAATATAATCATAGGAAAGAGGAGATAAAAGAGAAAACCTGACTTTTCCCCATCAGTGTCTAGAAATTTGGCAGCCTGTGAGTTACTGGTCTCCCCCCCCCCCAGCCCTCCACCGTTGTTCCAGTTCTTGGACATAGTGGTTTGTTTTTAAAAAATCATATATTTCCAGAGACCTTTTAGGATTGTGTCCCCCAAAAAGTGTCTCCTCAGCAGTAGCTTCTCAGCATTAGGATGCGAAGAGGAAATTGCTGGTGGTTGAGCCACAGAGATAGAATAATGTTTTTAAGCAATTCCGAATGTAAGCATGTCCACATAGTTCAGAACTATTTATTTTGTGTCTGTTGACTTTTGTACAAGTGTGAAAGTGGCACAGACTGGGAAAATGTTAGGCCTCTGTTCAACTATGTGCAAATGTTGCCTCGGACTTTACTGGGCATGGGGCTTAGGTCATTCAGTTCTTCTCCAACGCTCATTGGGCTTTTAATTGAACATGTTTTACCCAGCACTGTGTAAGGCACTTGGGCTACAAAAGAAGCAGAAAACCCAGTAAGGAATTTGCCATTGAGTTGGGCGGGTGAGACAGTTTAGGACGTGTCACGGAGCCCACTATTGTGTGGGGTGGATGAGGATTGTAAAGGGAGGCAGGGAGGAGAGAGATGAGGGTGTGCGCAGATGACTTGCAGTTGGGTTCTCTGACTTCATGAACGTCCCGTGTCGCAACCAGGCCCGACTTAGCTCTGTCCAGCCTTACTGTACATTACTGCCCCCACACTCTGTTATCGGCCAATCCGGCCTTCTCTCTGGACGTCCAGTTTCCCATCTTTGTGCCTTTGCGAGAGGCTGTCTCCCATGCTTGGGAGGCATTCCCTCCCTCCCTTCAGCCTCCCAGAGTCCCTCTCTTCCTTCAACACTTGGGTGCTGTGTGATGATGTCCTCAATGACTAGTGTCTTGTCTCCCAAACAACCTGTATTGAACTACTTTGTAATCTCATTTTCTTTTTGTATGTATGTATATAAATGCACATATGTATACACAGACATGGACTCTATATGTATACACACATGTACATATATATGCATATACGCACCTTTTCCACCTTTAGAATGAAAAGTGTGTAAGGCACTTGAGGGCAGGGATGGTTATATTCGTTGTTTTTGTATCCTTGGTGGCCTGGCCCAATGCTTGGCACATACGGGCACTTGATTGACGGATGCAGTCCCGTTCTGCCCCTCGCTGACAGTATCAAGCCCTGGTGACCTCCCACGGGAGACCAGCATCTCCAATGTGTCAAATGACCTCTTGCTGGCACCGGAAGGACTCTCTCCTTGTGAGTTGGAAATTAGAAACAGAAACTAAAGACGTTCCACCCTGTTCCTTAATCTAGCATTCATTGAAACATGTGTTTATGAGATTTTATACTGCTCTCTTTTTAACTGCATAGGGCCATAGTCCTTTGGCAGAGTGGACAGAGGGGTGGATTTAGAGTGAAAGACCTTAGTTTGAATTTCACTTCTGGTAGTTCTCAGATCAAATGCTACATTAGGTCTTTCCTGATCTTCTCATGTGTTAGCAATTGTGTGTGCACGCATGTGCATCCACGCACACACACATACACCCTTCTAATTACTTTGTAGTTATATGAGTCTATGTTACTTCCCCCAGGGAAATAGAACCTCTTTGAGAGCAGATACTGGTTTCATTTTTTGTTCTGTTGTATTCTTAGGGTCAAAGAGAGCAATGTTAATATGATATAATATAAAAAGGGCCCAGTGTGTGATGAATTGAATTATGAGCTGTGTGCCCATGGCTCAAAGCTTTAAACCCCAAATTTTCATCTATAAAAGGAGGCTAGCACCTGCTTTCCAGGGTTGTTCTGTGACTCATATGGAATCATGTGGGCAAAGGACCTTGCAAATATCACTTATTATCATTTTAGACTGGTTCAGCAGGGTCAGTGATGGTTATTCACACAGTCTGTGCATCCCCCTCAACAGTCTATGTTCCACATTGTCCTGTGCTGGTAGAAAAACCACGTGAGAAAAGCCAGTATTTGGGTGTATGAGCTTGCCAGGCAGTGAGGGGTTGGGATAGAGAGGTGGGGTAGAAAGTTAAAATTGATGGGCCTGCCAGAAAACAGCAGATTTATTTTGTGCTTGTTTTTTGTTTTTTTAATTAGCAACAACAGTGAAACCAGGGAATTTGTCCATTTGCAGGCGCTCAGGTTATTTAAGGCCATGGTCTCAGTAGCTGGACCTGAGAAGCCTAGGAAGTCAGAGGCCTTATATCGTATGTGCTACCAAGGGGTTTCTCTTTATGGGAGGGAGATAGAGGGTCAGGATTTCATTTAAGGATTTATTTGTCATTGTATCTTAATCACCACATTGGGTTGGCTCCAAAAGCACATGTGTGCCAATCTGGAGGCGTAAAGTTACAACAGCCCTGACCAAGGTACTCTCTTTGGGATTGCAAAATGTTTTCTGACAGTCGTATTTTAGTGTTGCCAAGTTGTTTTGGTTCAAACTGTTACTTATGTGACCTCTCCCTTTCTCCTCCATTCTCAAGACATCCCCCTTCCCTCCATCCTCGTGACCACTGTCCTGGTTCAAGCCCTCATTGTTCTATGCCAGGATGATGGGATGCTTCCTATCTATCCCTTCTCCATCTGTCCTCCACACAATTGCTGAAATATTTTCCCATGGCTACAGGACTGACCAGGTCAAAAAATGTTTAAAAATCTCTAGGATAAAAAAAAAAATACGAACTCCGCCATCTGGCATCTAAGACTGTCTGTAATGTGTCCCCAGTTGACCTTTCCAGGCTTACCTCTCCTTATCCCCACCACACACTTATACGCATGCACACATGTGCACACACAGAGTCTACACTCAGGACTACCAGCTCTTCCCCAGCTGGCCTTCCCCACCTCAGCCTCTTAGAATCCTTATCTTTGGGACTGACTGCAGGTGACGCTTCCCTGAAACCTTCCCTGAACTCCTGCTGTCCCAGCTGCTGGTGCTAGTTTCCTTCTCAAACTTATTGACTGACTCCTGGTAGAATGCAGACCCCTTGTGGGCAGGGGCCTTGGATCTCCAGACCCTGGCCCACAGCAGGCCCTTCCGTGTTGGGGATTGAAGAGGCCTCGAACAACAAAGCAGTGAACTGGTTGATTCTTTACTTTGTACCAGGATTGCTGACCACCCTTGTAGGTGACCTGATTGAGGAGGGGGTTATGGGATGTGGCTGTAGAAGCAGGGCCCCATCAGCCAATCGCTAAGGAGTTATTAAGTGTTTGCTGTGTGTCTGGTACTGTGCTCTAAGCATGGGGGTACAAGGGTAAAGAATAAAATGACCCCTCCTTGCAATGAGCTTACATTCTGTTTGAAGGTAGGATAAAGAGAATTCTGGGATAATGGCTCTAGTGCCGGAAAGGACCTTGGAAGCCAACTGGTTCAGCCTTGTCTCTTTATAGAGAAGGAAACTGAGACTCAGGGAAGGAAGGGAAGAGAATAAGCATTTATAGAGCACCTGCTGTGTGCAAGGCACACTGTAATCCTCATGGCAACCCTGCAGAGTAGGTGCCGTTATTATCTCCATTTTACATGTGAGGAAACTGAGGCAAACGGGTTAGGTGAATCGCTCTGAGTCACATCAGTAGTGATAGCAGAGGCAAGATTTGAACCCAAAGGGCTACGTAGAAAAGTGCAAAATCTTTGGGAGATGGTTGAGGGAGAGGGAGAGGTGAAGGGGGAATGGGAAACGGAGGAAGAATGGTTGCAAAACATCCCAAGTGTAAAAAAAGATTAAGCTGTGGAAACTGGTTGACATGACCTTTTAATTGGGAGTGAGCTTGAGGCCCGATGCTTAATGGTTCACAGATGCTCTTTGTACAGCCATATTTCTTATCGAGAAAATGGAATGTACGGTTCTGTGGACAGACAGGGACCCCTCCGCGCCGTTCCCAAGATTCCCATAAAAGAGCCCCATGTCTGTGCCCCTGGCGAGCAGGCTACAGTAGCCTGGTAATCTCCTAACTGCGGCAGGGACACGGTTTCCTCCACACAGCCTACATACCGTAATTGGAAGAGGATCTGCTCTTGACCGATTGCCAAGGACGTGGGATTCTGCGGGATCCACATTCCTGCCTTGTCTCAGCTTGGGAATTTTCATCCAAAAGCTTGTCCTTAAGCTCCCAGAGTTTTTCTTGCGTGTTAAAAGATCACTCCTCTGGCTTTATTCGCCGCTATTGTTCATTGAGGTCAGGCCCAGGATGTTCAACTCTTCCTTGGAGTGAATCACAACCGTAGATTCTTTCCTTAAAGTCCTTTTGTTGTTGATGTAAGTGGGGTGGGGGTGGTGGGGATGGGGGACTGTGAGGAGATGCAGTCCTTCAAGAATGCAACTGGGTTTGAGTAATCTTGTTTTAACATTGGACCGCCTCCACCCAAAATGGGAGAGGGATATTGAAAGGTTAAAGGAAGAGCTGAGTTTCTTGCCTTCCTGTGAGATGGAAAGTGGAAGAAGTGGACAGTCCATTTATGAATGACTTTTTGAAGATAATTTGTCAAAATAGTCTCAGATTCCTTGGTTACTGGAAAGTAAAACTAGATAATGCTGAAGAAACCAGTCTTCAGGGAGGATGTTTGCAGGGGGCTGAGACTTTGCTGGGAAGAAGCCCGCTCCACCGTAGTTGGGGATGTTGATCAGTATCTCTTCTGTTCTCTTGTCTAGCGGAACTCCCGCGGTCCTCTGCGGTCAGGCTCTCCTCCTTGCGAGATCTTCCCGCTCAACTTCAGGAGCAATACCAGCAGGGCTTTACCCTGGTTGCCCTCCACCCCTTCGTGCAGCCCACCGACGAGCGGGAGAAGAAGACTCCCCAGGAGCAAATCTTCCGGGCTGTGCTGATCAAGAAAACTGAGAGGTGGGTGTGCGACGTCCAGGGGCTGGGAGCTCGCAGTGAGGAGCCGGGCTCCCTGGGACCGTGGCAAGGAGAGCCTTGCCTTGTGCTTCCTGCTGACGTTGGCCAGGCCAGGTGTGGGAGACTGGAGACCTGATTCTGTGTGTGCCTCTATCTCTTGGCTTGCAGCCCGCTTTGGAACGTTCTGTAATGAAAACCAAATTTCCCTGCCTGACGGCTCGAGCAGAGGTCCCTTTGGTGTCCCTTTCCTTTTGTAATTTATTGGATTAAGCTCAGCTAGAAAAATGTTTACTTTGAAGAGACATCCTCCCAGAAGGATGGAGCTGGAAGAGAAGGCTATTAATCTGAAGAGGGAGAACAGAAAAATGTATTCCGTAGGATTCACTTAAACCTAACGGTTCCCCAAAATTACATCAGGATGTTTAAATTTCCAGAGGGTCTACAGATCAATCGAGAAGGGATTTATTCTGTTTGATTAAGATTTATTAAGCACCTACTATGTGTCAGGCATTGGGAATAAAAAGATTTTTAAATCCCATAATCAGAGGACGATAGATTTTGAGCTTGAAAGGACCTTTGACCTCAGAGGTCAAAGGATCATAGATTTAAAGAGTCAGACCTTCAAGGTCATCTCATCCAGCCCACTCGTTTTACATTTAAGGAAACCAAGGCCTGGGAATTTAAGTGATTCAGCCAAGGAGATACAGCCAGGATCTGAGCCCAGGCCCTTGGACTGTAAATACAGCGTTCTTTCCACTGCATGATGCTGTGAAACTGAGACCTTGGCAAGCCTAAGGGGTTTGTCCAAGTGTCCACAAGCCAGGATCTCTGCCCGCAAGCAGCTTGTTCCTAAGGTGGGGGAAGACAGGGGAGAGAAGGGGTACACAGGTAGCAGGAACTCAGATGAGGATGTAATGGGAACAGAGGAGAAAACCAGGGAAAATGCTCTAGAAAGAAGGAAAAGAGAGATAGACAAAGAGAAAGGGGGGGGGGGGCAGGAGAGAGAGAGAGAGAGAGAGACAGACAGACAGACAGGAGGGAGGGAGGGAGGGAGGGAGGGATGGAGAAGGGGAGAGAAGAGAAGGAAAGATAGGAGTTGGAGGAAAAGAGGGGGAGAGGAGGGGGAAAGATGAAGAGAAAAGAGAGAAGGCAAGAAGAAAAGAGAGGAAGAGGAGGAGGGAGGAAGGAGAGAGATATTATTGACTCCTCAGGGTGGTTACAGACTTGCGTGAGGGTGGGCTAGATGACTAAAAGCTGGCGGTTGAGTTATCCCATGAGCACGCATTAGGTAAACCTGACGAGAACCCAAAGAGAATGTGCTATGTTCTTACTACTCAGACTACTCAGGCACCATTCCTTCGGGTACTGCCAGCGTGGGCTAGAAATTGAAGTGAAAGGTACTCTCTAATAACTGATGAGCTCCGAGTACAGATTGAAGCATATATGTGCATGTGTGTATGTATGTGTATGTATATATGTATATCTTTTAAACTGCCTTTATGTTTCTTGCTTTTTTTTAGCAATATGGCTAATGTAGAGAAATATGTTTTGCATGACTTCATATGTGTAATGGGAATCGTGTTGCTTGCCTTCTCAATGAGTAGATGAAGGGCTGGAGGGAGAAAATTTGGAACTCAAACTTTTTTTAAATGAAAGTGTGAAAAAAAAAGAAATGTACTCTTTACCAACATTGAGGCCCCTGTTATTGTGTTCTGATTGAGACCTAAGGGACCTCAGAGGATTTGTTTTTTAGCCTTTTCATTTTACAGATGAAGAAACTGAGATGCAGGGCAGTTGCAACTTGTCATATAACCATAGATCTAGAATAGTGACGTCAAACCCAGATAGAAATGGGTTCCTGCATATTGACTTAAAAAACCACAAATTAGTATCATCTACATTGTATTGTATTTTTATTCATTCTGCTAAACATGTCCCAGTTATATTTTAACCTGGTTGGGCCACATTTGGGAATTTTGCCTCCAGGTTCCAAGAGGCCTTTCCAAGAACTCTTTCAGAGGCCCTTTGGTCCAATTCCTCCATTTTACAGATTAGGAAACTGAGACCCATGGAGCATAAGTGACTTGCCATAAAATTTTGGGGTCTTAGCTGGGAGAGATCGCAGAGGCTATATATACTCCCAATTCCCTCATTTTACGGATGAGGAAACTGAGGCCCAGAGAACTCAAGAGACTTGTTCACAGTCACACTGGTAAGGAGTAGCAGTGCTAGGGTTTAAACTCAGGTCCTCTGACTTCAGATCTAGCACTCTTCTTTCTACTCCTTGCTGCCTCCAACAAGACCCTTCATGGTCTAGTTCCGGCCTACCTTTCTAGCTTCTTTTCCCGTGCCATACCTTCACGTACCCACCATTCCACAAGTAGGCTACTGCTTTCCTGATCTTGGATTGACATTTCCCACCTCTGTGCTTTTCCCCAGGCCTGAATTGTACCACCTCCTAGTATCTGCCTTGCAGAATCTTTGCCCTCTCCACATTTGGTCAGGAGTTACCCAACTTTGTGAAGATCTCCTCTGTTGCTGCAGCTGAATGCATTTTCTCCCTCAAATTTTCCTTAAGAAGAGGGCTTGTCCCTGGGGGCCTTGCATGGTCTGAGGGGTGGGTGAATAGCTGTAACTCATTCCCGCTGAGGCTAACAAGAGAGGAAATTGAGGATGTCCAGAAGAAGCAATCTTAATTTAGACATGATGAAGACCTTTGGCACTGGACATTCCAGTTGTGATGCCCTAAAATGGGAACTGGTACTATGATATTTCCCCTTGGGAAGGTTTTAAGGAAAGTGGCTGGTAATTCTCTCCCTGCATTTGGATGCCCTTCAGCCTAACAGGGAGGGATTCTTAACTTGGGTCCATGGACGAGTGGTCCATGGATAGATGTCAAGGAGTTTGTGAACTTGAATGGGAAAAAAGATGATGCCTTTATTGTCACTAACCTCTAATTGAAATTTAGCATTTCCTTCACTTATGAACATAGGTCACTAGCATTTAGAGAAAGCATCCATAGGATTCACTGATCTGCCCAAGGGGACCATGGTACAAAAAAAAAAAATTAAGAAACCTTGATGTACAGTTGACCACATGTTTTCTTGAGGCTACTTCCCATAATTTTCTAATTTCTTGAGACGCAGACTCAGAGGGAAAGAAAGTTCCTGTGGCCTTCTGCAAACTGGTTGTTTGAGGACTTCCCTTCTAAAATGGGAAGGAATCAAAATTTGTATAGGTCCCCCCAGGCACGATGAGAAATGACTAGGGGAGTTTTCTCTGCTGGTTATGATGGACGTCATAGTAGAGAGGTATTTGTATGGTAATGAGAAGTACAAATACAGTCTTTCCTTGTAAATGTGAAAGCCATATGTTTTACATCATGAAATGATAAAATACATTTTAACAAAAAAACCACCAAAAAATTAAACAAATTCCCAAAGGGCCCACTTGAATTTTTTCTTTATCAGTTGGGAGTATATAACCTTCCCACCCCAATTCAAAAACAAGAGAAGGCTTCTTGTGTGATAAGTCTTTACTAGACACAATTAAAATCATATATTTTGGTGAAATCTGCCAAAAGTCTGGTAGCTATGGACTCTTAGTCTGTAGATAGCTGTGTACTGACTTCCTTTTGAGAGCTAAATAATTTCACTTAGCTCTCAGAAGGAAGTCGGTGCCTGGTCATAGCATTTGCTGAGTACACTACAGCTAATGAGAAGTTATGTTTTGTGAAAGATAAATCCTGATTTATGACCAGTCCAGCTGCTAGTTCATGAGCAAATTCACCCAGCTCAGGATTTTAAAGTAGTAGGAAGTAGCATGTTATAACTTGGGGTATTGAATCCTGTGTGGTTGGTAGGAATATACAGATCTGACCCACTTATTTTAGACTTTAGGAAACTGAGGCCCTGAGAGGTTGTCTTGGCCAAGGTCACATGGATATTAATCATCAGAGACAGGATTTGAACCCAGAACCAGTACCTTACTTTACACAATACCTTACTGCCTCTTTGGGGAGGAGAAGGACCAGGCAGCCTTGTCTCATGTGTATAGATTATCCTTAAGTGCTTATCTGGCCAAAGTTCCCCCTAGGGCTGGGTAAGCCTTCCTAGAAATATCTTCCTTCCCTTAATACTTTCAGGAATAACTCACACGCTTCTTATAGTAGTAAAAAGCTATAAACAAAGTATGCACCCATTGATTGGAGAATGGCTGTCCAGATTACGGTAAATGGATGTAATGGAATATTCAGAGGCCAGCATGGCATTGTGGCAACAGGGCTGATTTTGGAGACGAAAGACCTGGGTTCAAATACTGACTCTGACACTTACATGTGTGATTCTGGGCAAATCACTTCCCTCTCCGGGCCTCAGTTTCCTCATCTATAAAAGGAAGGAATAGACGGCTTCAGAGGGATCTTCCAGCCCCAGTCTGTGATCTTGGGGCAGCTGAACTCAGCTCAGATACAGTGACCGTTGTTGACTCCATCTGGCTTCCCTCTTCTCTGCTAAGAGATGGTCCCCTACGAGGGAGATGATTCCATTCTCAGCTGTCCGATCGAATGGTTTTGTTTCACTTTCTTTTTTGGGTGTTTTCTGTAATGTAAAGAGAAGTACTGTTGGCTGGCAAGGGACTTATTGGGGACCGACTGTGCAAAAAACCCCAAATCCCAAAACTAACAAAAAACAGCGACAATAACAATAACAAAACGTGTCAATGTGTCACTGACCAGTTTTCCGAAAATTAACTTGTACAAAGAGCTTGAAGATGCAGGCATCCTTTTTTTTTTTCACCAGGAATCAGCTCTTGGGGAGTTTGTGGGTTTGGTCAGAGCCCAGACTTCGAACAAAGCAGTGGGCCTGCCCCGAATTGTGGTCGTGTTTGATAGAAGGTGCTAATTTCCCACAATTAGCTGAGTAACAACTGAGACCACGTCTAGTTGTTTGCATGATTAATGGTGGCTTCTGCCCCATTCCAGGCTGATAGGCCATCCGAAGACT